TAGGCATAATAATGTCTTTTGAGGATTTTACTTAAAATTTAAATATAAAAAGTGGCCGTTGGTTCTGGTGCTGTATCTGGGCAGGACTAGGTAAGGCTCTGGATGAATCTGATGTTAAAGACGATGTAGGTAATCCTGGGCGGATGGTTTCAGTCCGATGTTTTGGAATCTCCTGTACTACTTGGTTGGAGCACCACAAGTAGGATAAATAAGGGCCGGTAGTAGTCGGACAATGTTAATTAGACCAATTAACAAGTATCTTGCTACCTTACCTGGCGTCTACCCTGGATAACCACGCCAGGAGCAGAGCTGGTAATTAGAAAAAAATAGACTGGTTACCAACAGTTAGGCAAATATAACATTTAAGAATGAAAAAGAGTGGTATTAAATGCCAAAATCATTACTGGTAACCAACAAACAATAAAACAACGAACAGTAATACTCCTGGTAGATAACCCTACATGTTCAGAAGAGTGGAGGTGAAGTGACTCTCCAAACTTCAACCCACACCAGGTAAGGTCAATACTACCAGGAGTAGAAATTGAAGGACATCAGACACCATGAACTAGAGTTTTGTCCCAGCCCGCCAGAGGGGAGTGTGCGACGTTAACTCGCTAATGGTTCCTGGTTGCCTGAATAACCCTAACCCCACTTAAAACCCACTTTTCCCTTACAGTTACTCTACCATTTCGATGTTTCATCCCATACCGTTTCATTTAACGCACTGGTGCACTCTGCCTTATAGCCTTGTTTGTTCTTATTTCTGGACTAATCCTTAGTGTGTGCTGGATCAAATTCTTGTCTCCGAGTGTGTTACCAGTTGTCAGATGCACTTGTTTTGTGGGGAGCGGGGGGCGGTTATCGGTAGGTAGTGGCTTGTGGTGTCACCTACTGCGTGTTCATGTGCCCCTGGGCTGAACCTGACCAATAATAACACTACCAATTTGAGGTCTCTACATACACATTAATGAGGGATTTATAATTCCGTGTGTTGTCTACTCTCAGGGTCACATTAGCTTTCGTTGCCACAGTATTCGTCTTTTTGAGCCTAATTATTCTCTCCACTACCTGTATATACCACATTATATACAAGGGGGTCGACAGACTGAACGGAGTGGGGGGGGGGGGTTGACCCACTAAACTGAGTGGGGGTCGACATTATGTTCACTACATAGTGTGCAACACTGTGGAAGGTCAGCTATGCACACATTAAGGCTTATTAGGAAAGTTACTGTTAAAACTATGTGCGGTATAAAGTGTTTTATACATGACTGAAGGGAGGACTAACGAAATGTTAAGTCAGTTTGTAAAGTCCCTCTCAGTAGTGTAATTTTTAGTAAATGCTATTAAGCAGGTTCATTCAGAATCGAAAAACGCATTTAGAATCCTTTATAGTACGTGGCATTCAATTTTCGTTTAAGTTTGTCAATTATATTTATGGAAAATTACTGGATATACAAGTGCGTATAAGAACCGAGTGTGAGAGAAGAGAAACCGGACTCGTGAGTGGACTACACCTTCTAACATGTTTACATTAGCGAGTCTTGCAGAGTTTGCAAGACGAACATTTCTTGACTTTGAATGAGATGTTCCTTTTTACTTAAGAATTTTTACTCTTTTAAATGAGAATAAATTATATATAACTGTTAATGCCACTGAATTACGAATGTTTAGTGTAAATATCTACGGTGATGTGTTGCTTGGTTGTTCTTGGCGGGTAGAAAATGTTTAGGTTACTTTTACAGGCAGATGACAGCCTCATGCAGATCCTAGTATCAGTCCGCAAAGGAATGATACGGTGCTGTGATGTATATCTCTCTAACAAACCATACCCCGGCCGGGATTGAACCCGCGTCAGAGAGTCTCAAAACTCCAGACCGTCGCGTTAGCCACTAGACCAGCTAGCCACAATAAGATTCGTCCAACTAGGTATATTTCTACACCATAGGAAGGTTAGCATAGGCACCACTGTGACCACAAATGCAAGTTTTTACAGACGAATCTCCAGCTAGCTATGGTGTAGAAATATACCTAGTTGGACGAATCTTATTGTGGCTAGCTGGTCTAGTGGCTAACGCGACGGTCTGGAGTTTTGAGACTCAATGACCGCGGGTTCAATCCCGACCGGGGTATGGTTTGTTTGCAATCGTGTCATTACGATCTCGTGAGTTATCCTCATATCAGACATAGACAGAGATATACACCACAGCACCGTATCATCCTTCGTTAACCTCCAAGAAGATATAAACAAAGTTTTCCAGTGGGCAACGGTAAATATGTTCAATGAGGACAAATTCCAACTACTCCGTTATGGAAAACTGGAGGAGATAATAACTAGAACAGAGTATACTACAGACTCTGGCCATACAATAGAGCGGAAAAATGATGAAAGGGACTTGGGAGTAGTAATGTCTGAGGATCTCACTTTCAAGGATCACAACAGTGCCACGATCGCACGTGCAAAGAAAATGATAGGATGGATAATGAGAACGTTCAAAACGAGAGATGCAAAGCCAATGGTGATCCTTTTCAAATCACTTGTTCTCTCTAGGCTGGAATACTGCTGTACATTAACATCTCCATTCAAAGCAGGTGAAATCGCAGATCTAGATTGTGTACAGAGATCCTTTACTGCATGTATAAGTTCTGTCAAGCACCTTAACTACTAGGAACGCTTGGAAGCACTTGACTTGTACTCGTTGGAACGCAGGAGGGAGAGATATATCATAATCTACACTTGGAAAATCTTGGAAGGAATGGTCCCAAATCTGCACACAGAAATCACTCCCTACGAAAGTAAAAGACTGGGCAGGCGACGCAAAATGCCCCCAATAAAAAGTAGGGGCGCCATTGGTACACTAAGGGAAAACACCATAAGTGTCCGGGGCCCAAAACTGTTCAACAGCCTCCCATCAAGCATTAGGGGAATTGCCAATAAACCCCTGGCTGCCTTCAAGAGAGGCTGGACAGATACTTAGTGCCGGATCAGCCGGGCTGTGGCTCGTACGTTGGACTGCGTGCTGCCAGCAGTAACAGCCTAGTTGATCAGGTCCTGATCCATCGGGAGGCCTGGTCGTGAGCCGGGCCGCGAGGGCGTTGATCCCCGGAATAACCTCCAGGTAGGTATCGCCTTATCTTAGGGTACACTACTATGTACAGTCTGTTTTTTAATGGGGTGTAAACCTAACTGGGGTAGACCAGTTAATGCTTAACCTGTGACGGGGCATCTGATAGACCCTCAGAAGACAGTGTTGTTGACTCGGAAATCGTAATGACACGATTGCAAACAAACTATAACACGGGCGGGGTTAGAACCCGCGATCAGAGACTCAAGTGATCTCGGGGTTTAACCCCGCCCGTGGTATAGTTTGTTTAGTGTTGTTGACTTGACTAATAAAACTCTGCTATCTTGGAGTGTTAAAGGGAAAGGAGGGGGGGAGGTAGTAATACTTTAGCTAATTGATCGTGAGTTTAGCTAACTGCAGTACAAATAATGTAGTTTTGTAGTTTACATGTAACAAAACATTGGTAGACACTGTCAGTAATATGCAGTGCATTTCGGGTAAAGTAATCCTGATGCTTAGATGTTACCTGAGATTGTTTTCGAGCAGTGTAGCTGCTTATATCGTGTATTGCGCACCACAGGTTTGTATTTTAGGACTTACAGTATTAAAAAAAATGGTATATATATTCATCATTCAGATAATATGATGGGTACCATGGATCGAACCGCTGTCCTTGATATTGCAAGTCGAGAGGTGCACCCACTCAACCATAGCGCGAACAACAACACAGCTGTGCACTTGTAAATTGCAGTTGCGAGGACGGTGGGTATGTCTTCAGTACTCGCACAATTGGTTATTCGATGCATGATTCAAATAGTCGTATGTGGTGGTGAGTGGAATATCATAAATGTGCGTCTGCGATTGATCGACGTAGATTTAGATAAGAACATAAGAACATAAGAACGAAGGAACACTGCAGAAGGCCTACTGGCCCATGCGAGGCAGGTCCAAGTCTCCTACCGGCTTAAGCCAATGCACCCAACCTAGTCAGGTCAGGTCACATTGACTTAAGGGAGGAACACGGCAACCGACCTGGTAGCACAAGCTATCAGGTCTAACTCACACCCACCCACATCCACTCATGTATTTATCCAACCCATCTTTAAAGCTACCCAACGTTCTGGCCCTCTATAACGGTACTTGGGAGTTGTTCCACTCATCACACAACTCTATTACCAAACCAGTACTTTCCTATATCCTTCCTGAATCTGAAATTTTTTCAACTTAAAACCATTGCTGCGAGTCCTGTCTAGGCTAGATATTTTCAGCACACTATTTACATCCCCTTTATTTATTCCTGTCTTCCATTTATACACCTCAATCATATCCCCCCTAATTCTACGTCTTTCTAGAGAGTGCAGATCAGGGCCCTTAGTCTATCCTCATAGGAAGGTTTCTGATACATGGGATCAACTTTGTCATCCTCCTGTGTACATTTTCCAGAGAATTTATATCCATTCTGTAATAAGGTGACCAGAACTGTGCAGCATAATCTAAATGAGGCCTAACCAAGGATGTATAGAGTTGAAGAACAACCTGAGGACTCCTATTATTTATGCTTCTTGATATGAAGCCAAGGATTCTATTAGCTTTATTGCGAACACTTATGCACTGTTGTCTTGGTTTCAGATTACTGCTAACCAGAACTCCTAAATCTTTTTCGCAATCCGTAATATTAAGATCTACATTATTTAGTTTATATGTGGCATGGTTATTGTCCTGTCCAACATTTAGAACTTTGCATTTGTCTATATTAAACTGCATCTGCCACTTCTCCGACCACTGCATCAGTCTATTCAAATCTTCCTGGAGATGTGGTGGCGAGTGGGATATTACAAGTATACGATTGATAGACGTAAATTTAGGTAAGGCGAGTGGAATATCGTAAGTGTCTACGATTGTTGGACATAAAGCCTAATGTATTATTTGTTGCAGGGAAGAGCATGGCGTATCACTGCCGGAGCCTGGTCGCTATGCCACTGGAATTTTCTACTTGGATAAGACCCATCACGTGGAGAGTGAGCGGCTCTTCTCTGAACTGGCAGACAAACACAGCCTCAAGGTAAACACAATGTACACTCCACCTGCAACTTCAGAGACAGGTTCAAGGTTACCTGAAGGCGATTTTTGGGGTCACCACCCCTTCAGTCCGGTCCCAGACCAGGACATCTGGTTGATGGCTTGATCATCCAGGCTGTTGGTGTTAGCCGCACGCAGTTTAATATGTGCACCACAGCCAGGCTGATCAGGGATTGACTTTAGGAAATTATCAGCCCCCTGGTTGTCAAGAGGGAAGGTGCTGAAAGTCGTGGCCCCTTTATACTTAATGATTTACCTCTTAATTTACCCCTTGCGCCACTGCCTTTCATTGGGGGGATTTTGCACGGTCTTGATTTCACGGTAAGTGGTTTCAGTGTGTAGATTTTGGGATAAATTCCTCCAGAATTTTCCAGGTGTAATCTATGATATTCTTGGTTGCCAGCGTTGCTCGGAGTACAGTTCAAGGCATTCCCAACAATTGTTTTAATTTAGGCAGGCAGCGAAGGTTATCTATATATTCTCTGAGTTGCAGTTTTCACCTAACAGCGTACAACAATCCAGTCTAGAAAGAACAAATGACTTAGTATCATTGGCTTCTTGTTGTAAAAGTTGTAGTTATCAAGCCTATCATTGTGATAATATTCTTGTGATCCGTGACTGTGAGATCTGACATTATCACTCCCAGGTTCCCTCACATTAATCTACCAATCTGTCCTCACTAACACGAGGACGGCGACTGTGCTTTAGCATATGCAAACACAAAGAAATGTGTAAGGCACGTTTTCGAAAGGAAACTAGAGCACTAACTTTTTGAAAATGCCACATCAACTAGGTTAAAATGGCTATGTAGGTATGTAAGCTGCTAGAAGCAACAGCCTTGTTAATCAAGAAGTCGATCATAGAGTAAGGCTGCTTAGGCCGGCCCTCAAAAAGTAGAAATCCCTCTGTGGAAGTCTGGAGGTTATTCCGGGGATCAACGCCCCCGCGGCCCGGTCCATGACCAGGCCTGTTACAGGTATGGGATTGATTCTCAACACTTAGGAGAAACCATCCTTAATAATGTAGGACATAGTCTTCTACTAATACATGGATGATTTAAAATCAAGGGAGGTTCCTTGATGCCGGTGAGGAGTTCTTGATGCCAGGAATTGGACTTGGCCTAACTTTCCTTTAATCAAACCTGATTACCTCCCATTTTTCCAGGCACTGTATGACTGTTATGAGTTTAGCACTAACCCCGAAATGTAGCAAGTCGAAATAAGTCTACTCTCTCGCACTTGGCCACACCTTGGTCTCGACGGACCAATACCATCGACATTCTCTCGTGTCTCGGACCACATTCTGAGTCTGTATTGACCTGCTAGTTTTCCTAGCTATAAGAAAGCAGGTTAAATATTCAGCCGAGGATACGCTGGCGTCTTTCCACAGCTAGTAAAGTTAATGAAATTGTTTTAAGCCATAAATGTGCGTATCCACAGTGTTTCTTAATGTTATTCTCTCTACCCCATCAGAGCCAGGGCTTTAAGGATCAGTATTGCAAACTGCTTACACAGTGTGGATCTGCAGAGAACTTTATTAATTCTAAAAGTTTTTCTCTCAGAAACAAACATTTGTGAAATCCTTAGTAGACTGTTGCCAAATTCTTTTTCTCTAAAATAACAAGAGGATTGACTGCCAGATATGTCTGCCAGACATTGTCCTGAGTATCTAGTAATTAACTTAAGTATTAGGTAAATGTTTATGGGATGTATGTCTTACAATTATATTTATATGAAGCAGTAAACCCATGTGGGTCATTAGGCACACTGTAAGGTGGAAGCTTGATCCTCAGTCCGTATATAGGGACACGCTTCTGTCAGTAAGGTTTAATACCTTCCTCACTAAGTGTGCTTGTGAGACTTGACAGTCAATCAATAGCACTATCGCTTTACAGCTTCTTTTATTCTCTTATTGACACATTTTATGGTGGGGGGCATATATCAGGTGTTATAAGACGGTCAGGTAGGTTTGGCAGGACGGGTCTTGGACCGGGTCTTCTTGTGGTGACTCGGTAGTGACTCATGGAGTGTGGGAGTTTACAAGTGATGTACCGTTGGCAGCCCTATGACAAGGTCACGGTGAGTCTTCTTTAGGTCAAGTGCAGTGCCTCTTACATCCCCATGGCGGGTACAAGAGCGTGTGGGACGATTCTACAGGATATTTAAGATTTGAAGAGTTTGCCGTTACATTCATTAAGACTTTGAGAGTTGTTAAAATTCATAATGCGTAGCCACCCGCCAAATACGGTCGTAATGTGTCTTGTCTTCAGTATTTCGCACATTGTCATCAGTGAAAGGTCTCCCTCTTAAGGGCCCAATATTAAAAGTTGTCTCGTTTCTTCTTTCAAGTGCTTCCTCATCCACATGTCCTTTGCTTTCATTCTTTCCTGCTCTTCTAGTTTTATTATTCTTTGGCATGGTAGTGTCAGGCGCTTTTCTTAAAGTGAAGGAAGCTGCGATCCACCCATCAATTCTGTTATCTCTGACTAGGAAAACAATAAGTTCCAAACAGGATTCCCCATCATTAAGTCGATGCTCCTTTTTTTTCTCAGACAAATCCTTTCTTCTTCACTCCAGGCTCTTCAGTACTATACTCACTACAATCTTCAAAATTTGGAATATGCGTGTAAAGATATGGGCCTCAAGTTCGATGTGTGTAGTCGCCCATGTGTGTTTGTGGGGGTCAAGTCTTGGTTTATAGACCGGCCTTTCAAGTTTCATAAATATATATTACTTAAAATTGTCCTCTTGAGCTCTTACCTACTCTTGAAATGGAGTTTGCTGCCACCACTTCACATACAGCTTATTTCTGGTCACAGACCCGGCCGCGGGGGCGTTGACCCCCGAAACCCACTCCAGGTATACTACAGGTAAGTAGCTTTAGACTGGAAAAGTAAATATTAACTCCACTGTGTTTCATCTGTTCATAGTTTCCATCATCTTCCCCGTATTCCAGGTTCTGTAGCTCCAGACTGTGATTGACAGTATTAATTCTTAATAATCTTCCATGTCGTGATCATCTCTCCTGTAACGTTATCTTTTGACGAGTCGTCAGATACATCGTTTTCAGTATCCCCCTTCCAGTGTACCCGTGTCAGCTCGAGGACTAGTCTGATTGCAGACATTTCAATATTATAAACGTTCTTGATCAGATGCTTACGTGCGCATGCGCTCGCGTCTTCATTGAATTATTTAATTTCCGGCGCTGTCATTGATCAACCCCCCCCCCCCGTCCTTTTTTGTATTTTTCTGGGCCTTTCCCTTCCCCGCCCTCTTTCTCTTTCCCCGCCCTCTTTCCCTTTCCCCGCCCTCTTTCCCTTTCCCCGCCCTCTTTCCCATTCCCCTCCATTTTTCCCTTCCTTTTTTCTCCTCCCTTCCCTTCCCCTCCTACAATTTATTAAGCTTGGGTAACATTTCATGGTATGGCAAAGGTGTGCAGGTGTTCAGATACAAGTGTAGTGCATATCCTCACCTATTTGTTGGTCCAGGATGGTATTATCAGCGTAGCTAACTCTCCTCACCTCAGCCAGATCCTAGGATTAATTTTTATGTGACCTCTCCTTGTCTCACGACTTTGTACAGCGGGTCTCCAGCAGCAACAGCCTGGTTGATCAGGCAAGCACCGGACGAGCCTGGGCGATGGCCGGGCTATGGGAGTAGTTAAACTCTCGAAACTCTTCAAAGGTATATATCAAAGGTATACATCTGTGGTTGCAGGGGTCGGGTCTCTGCTCCTGGTCCCTGTTCCTGGTCCCTGTCTGTGTACGTGTCTTGTCTGTTTCTTATCTGTATGTGCGTGCGTTATATTGCGTGTACGTGTACAAGATGTATAGGAAGCGTATGTAGTTAGTGATGGCTGTTGCTTGGTATCTGGTGCTAATTGATGGTGGTGGTATTAAATGGTGATAGTGATTATATTAATGCTGGTGATAGTGCTGATTCTGTTGCTGGTGCTGATGGAGGCCCTCGCTGTGGTGGTGGTGCTGCTGCTGGAGCTGCTGGTCATTAGTGACAGTTGGCAGCGCTGTCTCAACTTCCGTGGTCGCAGCTTTCCTGCCACAAGTACAGACCTTCCCTCCCAGCAGGCTGGTATTGATTATCCTGCCTGCCTTCTTTCCCCTCCCTCCCTCTCTACCTCCCTCCTTCTCGTGTGTGATTTGTGCATTTATTTTTATTCCCATTTTTTTCCTTAACGTTTTTTTTCTTGCGTCAGTGTCATTGTCAAGATCAGTGAATGATGTACATGATTCAAATTGCTCTTTAAGTAACAGAACTACTTAACCTTACGTTCCCTCGCCTTTCCCTCTCTTCCTGCCTTTCCCTTCTTCCTACCCTCCCTCCATCTCTCTCCTCTCCCTCGCTTCCCATTACCCCCCCCCTTACTGTTACCACTTGTGAATGTGTCTGAGTGCGTGTGTGCTTGTCTGACTGCCACAGCTTTTCATACAAGTATGTGTCTGGTGTAAGACGTACTTATTTTGTTTGGGAAGAGCTATGCCCAGGGGGGGGGGTCGTCAGCTTCTAGGCAATGCTTGAGTGTTGTCACTCATACTAACATATCAGTGACTTGGCTGTGATTGGTGTCTAGGGTTCTTTACGATGTCAGCCCAGCCTCAGGCCAGAGTTCCTGGTGCCATGTTTACGCTCTGTCTAGACTCTGTGGGCTCTGTAAACTGTCGGGGAATGGAGCCTCTTGCGCCTCCCCCCCCCCACACACACACACACACACGCGCACACTGGGCTCTTTACACCCTATGTCGGAGGATAGAGCCTTTTGCGCTACACACACTGGGCTGTGTCTGTTATACTTGTGTAGACCTTGTCTTCACTCTGTAGACTGAAGAATATCCTTGCAGCTCATGTGAATGTTTCTTACATGTCTCGTTGTTCTGGTGACGCCCAGGCTAGTGTCTACTTGTATATACTGTCAATACCCCTGAGTATCTTGTACATCGTGGTCACATCACCCTTGATATAGCTCCCC